TGCTGGGCTAACTCTAGGTACCAGTTAAGCCTAGAGGACTTTCATGGGACGAAGACTTGGTCTGTAATGCCTAATATAAGCACATCTTGGCTTTTAATTGAGAGCCGCAATTTAGAAGGCAGCAGCAGAAGATTATGTAAAGTGCTTTGTGCAGCTCAAGAGTGAAGAATGAAACTTCAGTATGTAAGAGCCAAATCAACAGGGCGAATGGCTTCCTCATTATTCATTTTAGTTTTCTGCTCCTGATTCCTTTGAGCTCAGCAGAAGTACTACCACCTGTTCAGAGTGGTGATAACACATTCTTGGGGCTTCACTACTGCTAACACTACTCACATTTTAATACATGTCAGGAAAAAGTGGAAGGAGTCTTATTAAAAATAAATACTTATGTCTCAGGGAAAGTGAAGAGTAGAAGACAATTCATTAGTGCAGTAATACAATACTTGCACCCATTATTCCTTTCAAGTACATTGACCTATATTGCCAAACTCGGAATTGGAACCTTGATTTTATTGGAAACAATTTGGATCCATAGAGTTTGAAAAGACTAGGTATCTAGTTCAACATTGCTTATCTGACATTCTTGTTTTCCTTGAACTCCAGCTTCAGGAATTCTCAAAATGTAAAAATTCTTATCAGCTTGTTTTGCTTTACATCTCACTGCATATCATGAAGGATATGAGGAATAAAAAGCCCTAGACATCTGTGACTTGCTGGGAAGAGGCATGAAGTTACAATACCTACATTCCCATAGTATACCTGTCACTTCTGAATAGAGCTGTAAATGTGGAGGAAAAACCCCAAAGCATTTTCACTAGAGCTTTCTCAATTAAGTACTGATAATAAAGGAAATATGAGCGAGCTGTAGGCAGGGATAATGAAGTTGCAAAAGGTTAGTCATAATGTTTCAAGTCAGATAACCACCTTTGACTGTTAGTATTGCAGCAGTTGTTGTCCCTCCGTAATCATTATATACAGTACAACTGTACAGTCCTTGATCTGTCTGCTGGACATTTAGGATTGTGAGCAGTAAGACACTTCCATTTTGTGTTATCTTCAATTTTTCAGACACTTCTATCCTTTCACCTTCGTGGGCCCAAAGAAAGTCAGAGAAGAATTCATTTTCTAAGGCACATATGAACTGAGCAGTGTCGCCACATTTCACAGTTAAGTCTCTGAGCTTCAAGAGAATCTTTGGAGGGATATCTTTCATTTCCTGAGCAGTGGACATAGAGATCCTGGTGCTCTGAGATATTTGGGAAAGGATTGTTGTGTGTGTGGCTTCCACTTCTTCAACTGATGTAGCCTTCGTGGTCAAACTTTCTGATATGCTTTCAAAGACCTGTACACCCAATTCCTGTGGTGGTTGTTGCACTGATTTAAATTCTTTTTGATAAGTTTTAATGTTCTTCTTCGTGAGAGGAGCAACATGAAGGTCTGATATAGCCTGCGACCGGATAGACTCTTTTACATCTTTCCCAGAACTTTGCCTATCTAGGGCTTGCACTGTGTGATCAAGTAACAAAAATAACAAGAATATTAGTATCTAAAGAACTTTACTGGGCCATGCTCTGAATAAAATCAAACAGCATGGAGGATGAATATGAATGATCTTCATTTGAAAATTCAGCATGCCAGATGCACTACGCTCTTGACACAAAGATTATCCATTCACATATATGAATGACAAGTGATGCCTAAGGTAGTCATGCAGTTGATATACAGTTGATGCTTCTTTCACTGAAGTTGTCCATTTTAGTGTTGGAAAACTTATTATGGAACTTTTTAAGGAGGTATTTTCTTTGTTTCCTACATGATAGTGCAAAATACCTCAGTCAATATTATAAAAATCACTTAATTACTTGTTTTAAAAATCTGAATGTCTTCAGTAAAATGATTCTATTTTTTGATCTATATCAAGACACAAATTTGCAAATTTCTGAATGTTACAGCTTAAAGAGAAGAAATGAGAGTTTCTGTGTTACAGACAGTAGGTAATACTAACATTAGCTGGTAAAGAAAAGGTGTGAAACAAGTAAAGAACAACATTAGTAACAGTATAAGAGTGTGGTATACAACAAAGTGAATCCCTTTGAAGTAAAAATGTGTCTTTACCTTCTGCAGTCACTGTAAGTGTAGCTGTACAAGTTGTTTCTCCAGCACTATTTCTTGCCTTGCAAGAGTATTGGCCAGCATGCTCTAAGAAAGCATCTACTATTATCAGTATAGCTGTGCCTGTAGATTCATCAAAGTGGAAAACTAAGTCTTTTGTTGGCAACATGAGTTGTTGATTATGAAACCACTGGATTTTTGGTTTGGGCATGCCAGAGACTCTAGCACGAAATCTGACTGATTCCCCACTGCATACCCTGCAGCTTGAAATAGGCTGGATAAAGGTGGGCCTTTGGCCAACAGACTCCTCCTTAAGTGAAACAGATGAAGAAACATGCCAATGGGACTCTGATGTAACTTCTTCAACCTTTTTAAATCCTGAAAAGAAGCATGTCAACTTTTAATTTTTTTACCCTACACTAAAACAAGTTTTCTCTCTCATTCAAGATTTTTTTTTCTAACTTGCAACTTAACAGCATGAATTATTTGAATTCTAATTCATAATTTATGAAATCTGTTGCAAAAAGAAAACAAAATATTTATGGTTAAATAATATCAAGGACAATACAGAACTTAAATAGCAAATTCTCCAAACAGTATGTCTGCTCCAAAACTAGTCAATGTTTCATTTCATGTGAATGTAAACTGTTTCTTTTCATC